ACCCTCACCACTCACCCACACCACTCACCCCTCTCCGTCACCACTCACCCTCACCACTCTCCCTCACCACTCACGCTCACCACTCACCCTCACCAATCATCCTCACTACTCACCCTCACCACTCACCCTTCTCCCTCATCATTTATGCTCACCATTCACCCTCACCACTCACCACTCACCCTCACCACTCACCCTTCTCCCTCATCATTTACGCTCACCATTCACCCTCACAACTCACCCCTCGCCCTGACCACTCACCCTCACCACTCACCCTCCCCCTCACCCCTCTCCCTCACCACTCACGCTCACCACTCACCCTCACCACTCACCCTCACCCCTCTCCCTCACCACTCACCATCACCACTCACCCATCTCCCTAACCACTCACGCTCACCACTCACCCTCACCAATCATCCTCACTACTCACCACTCACCCTCACCACTCACCCACACCACTCACCCCTCTCCATCACCACTCACCCTCACCACTCACCCCTCTCCGTCACCACTCACCCTCACCACTCACCCTCACCACTCACCCACACCACTCACCCCTCTCCGTCACCACTCACCCTCACCACTCACCCTCACCAATCAGCCTCACCACTCTCCCTCACCAATCACCCTCACCACTCACCCCTCACCCTTCTCCCTCACCACTCACCCTAACCACTCACCCCTCTCCCTCACCAATCACCCTAACCACTCAACCCTCTCCCTCACCACTCACGCTCACCACTCACCCTCACCAATCATCCTCACTACTCACTACTCACCCTCACCATTCACCCTTCACCCTCATCATTTATGCTCACCATGCACCCTCACCACTTACCCCTCTCCTTTACCACTCACCCTCACCCCTCACCCTCACCACTCACCCCTCTCCCTCACCACTCACCCCTCTCCCTCACCACTCACGCTCACCACTCACCCCCACCACTCACCCACACCCCTCTCCCTCACCACTCACCATCACCACTCACTCCTCCCCCTAACCACTCACGCTCACCACTCACCCTCACCAATCATCCTCACTACTCACAACTCACCCTCACCACTCACCACTCACTCTCACCACTCACGCTCACCACTCACCACTCACCCCTCTCCTTCACCACTCACCCTCACCACTCACCCCTCTTCGTCACCACTCACCCTCACCACTTACCCTCACCACTCACCCACACCACTCACCCCTCTCCGTCACCACTCACCCTCACCACTAACCCTCACCAATCACCCTCAACACTCTCCCTCACCAATCACCCTCACCAATCATCCTCACCACTCACCCTCACCACCACCACTCACTCTCACCACTCAAGCTCACCACTCACCCCTCACCCTTCTCCCTCACCACTCACCCTAACCACTCACCCCTCTCCCTCACCACTCACGCTCACCACTCACCCTCACCAATCATCGTCACTACTCACTACTCACCCTCACCACTCACCACTCACTCTCACCACTCACGCTCACCACTAACCCTCACCACTCACCACTCACCCCTCTCTGTCACCACTCACCCTCATCACTCACCCCTCTCCCTCACCACTCACCACCACCACTCTTTCTCACCATTCACCCTCACCACTCACCACTCACCACTCACCCTTCTCCCTTACCACTCACCCTAACCACTCACCCCTCAACAATCACCCTAACCACTCACCCTTCTCCCTCACCACTCACGCTCACCCTCACCACTCACCCCTCACTAATCACCACTCACAACCGCCACTCGCCCTCACCACTCACCCTCACCAATCACCACTCTCCCTCACTGCTCACCCCTCACGCTCACCCTCACCAGTCACCCCTCACTAATCACCACTCACAACCGCCACTCGCCGTCACCACTCACCACTCACCCACCAATCATCTTCACTACTCACGACTCACCACTCACCCTCACCATTCACCACTCAATCTCACCACTCACGCTCACCCCTTTCCCTCACCACTCACCCCTCTCCCTCACCACTCACGCTCACCACTGACCCTCACCACTCACCCCCACCACTTACCCTCACCACTCACCCTCACCAATCATCCTCACTACTCACCACTCTTCCTCACCACTCACCCCCCTCCCTCACCACTCACCCTCACTACTCACCCTCACCAATCATCCTCACTACTCACCACTCTGCCTCACCACTCACCCTCACCACTCACCCTTCTCTCTCACCACTCACCTTCACTGCTCACCCTCACAGCTCACCACTCACCCTCACCACTCACCCACACCACTCTTCCTCACCACACTTCCTCACCACTCTTCCTCACAACTCACCCTCACCACTCACCACTCTCGCTCACCACTCACCCTCACCACTCTCGCTCACCACTCACCCTCCCAACTCACCCTCACTACTCACTCTCACCACTCACCCTCACCACTCTCCCTCGGTTGTGAGTGGTGATTAGTGAGGGGTGAGTGGTGAGGGTGAGCGTGATTGGTGAGCGTGAGTGGTGAGGGTGAGGGGTGAGAGTGAGCAGTGAAGGTGAGTGGTGATTGGTGAGGTTGAGGGTGAGTGGTGAGGGTAAGTGGTGACGGAGAGGGGTGAGTGGTGAGGGTGAGTGGTTGTTATGAGGGTGAGTGATGAGAGTGAGGGTGAGTGGCGGTTGTGAGTGGTGATTAGTGAGTGGTGAAGGTGAGCGTGAGTGGTGAGTAGTGAGGGTGAGTGGTGAGCGTGAGTTGTGAGTGGTGAGGGTGAGTGGTGAGGGTGAGTGGTGAGAAAGTGGTTAGTAGTTAGGGTGAGTGGTGAGGGTGAGTGGTGAGGGTGAGTAGTGAGAGTTAGTGGAGAGTGGTGAGGGTGAGTGGTGATTGGTCAGTAGTGATTGGTGAGGATGAGTGGTGAGTAGTGAGGGTGAGGTTGAGTGGTGCGGGTGAGTGGTGTTGGTGAGTGGTGAGGGTGAGTGGTGAGGGTGATTAGTGAGGGTGAGTGGTGAGGGTGAGTGGAGAGGGAGAGGGTGAGTGGTGAGCGTGAGTGGTGAGGGTGAGTGGTGGTGGTGAGGGTGAGTGGTAAGCGTGAGTGGTGAGGGAGAGGGTGAGTGGTGAGGGTGAGTGGTGAGGGTGAGTGGTGAGCGTGAGTGGTGAGTATTGTCAAAGCCCACTGGGCTTTGTTGGTATTGTCAAAGCCCACTGGGCTTTTGACAATACCTTAGTATCTGTGTATATATGTAAGGTTATTAAGAAATATATTTTCCCCCGGGCAACGCCGGGTACTTCTGCTAGTTTAATATATTTCTATAAAGTATACGTAACTGTGTGGATCAATGCAATTAATTATAACGTATTTCTCTTTGAATTTAGAATTCAATTATTTTTAAACGACATTGTGATTGTTTACACATGTCTTCTAATAAAATTCCTAGATTATATTTATGGTAAAGGCTGCTGCTCGTTAAAATGTGTTTCGTCTATGATGCTCACCCAAATGATTATCTGAATATGTACAATACATATACTTACCGGTTATATTCGTGACAATGTCTGATGGTTGGGAGTTGATGCCACTGTATACTGTTACAGAAGCGTTATAACTTCTACCAGGGACCAGATCAGTAAATGCTTGTGTTGTAACGGTGGAAGGCAAAATGAAGCTCTTCACTGCTGCTGCATTGTAGGTTTCATTTAAGTAGACCACGTAATAGTCCACGTCTGAAGTCGGAGCCACCCATGAGACTGTCATGGCTGTAGGACTGTTGACGATGACGGTAACATTGACTTGTGGAGGAACTGCAATGTCAAATAAACATGGTTAGGACAGATTAATTGCAAAGACTAATCCTGCATAATGCACGGGCATAATATGACTTTAAACCCCCCCGACCACCACCTCCGCATTTCACAAGTAGTACTAATCGCATATCTGCATTTCCCATAAATATGCTAAATTCCTCTTGATATGCAAATTATTTTGTCAAGGCGCTCTCCCCCCTCCAACCCAGCTTAAATAGACGCTCCAAGCCTAGGGTGTGTCATTCAGACTGTCTTCTCGACAAACCTGTTCTTCACCTGAGGACGGCTGCTTGCGTTGTGGCCGAAACGTCGTGAGAATTATTTTATTATGTTTTTATTTTATTATTTCCATTCTACGTGACTTTACCGAAAGAACCAAGTAGACTACTTACATCATTAACTTAAGCCAATAAAGTGGCATGTAACACATTATATACAACGATCACCATATATTTTGTATATGCCCTCTTTCTTTTTTGATCCAACTATGTGGAGTGATTCGAAGACAAGGGTTGAAGGAGGAACCTTCTTTTTTAGTAACATTCATGGTCTCGCCTGTACACTCTCTACAGTCTCTTAGCCTAGCCTGTACACAACACTAGCCGTTGAACACTGACGGTGCTGACTGAGACAGCCACCAACTATCTGGCAGTACAAAATTAGACAAAAGCAACGACGAGACGAGTTCACACCCAGAATCGGCAGCCTCGAGCTCCCGCTCTTGGCTACTTTTATCCTATCAGCGCGTTTTGGTGCTGCACTGACGACGCCTCCCTTCTCGAACCAACCAGCAGGTTTCAGGGGCCTCCAGATGCGGTCCTCCATGACCCTTGTTCCGGTTCCTCTGCCCTGCCAACACGCTGTGCTCCCGCTCACCGGCGTGTGTACTGTCTGTCCACTACAGTTGCTGCTGTCCACAAACCGGCGCTATTACACTACATATGTATTGATAAGAGAAGTACGAGTTTTTTGTTGCAACAAAATAAGAGTCCAGTATATGCCACACACCCCATCAAGGGTTGGGGGAGGTACAAAAATTATGTGGATTGAGGCCCTCAAAACTCCTGGGTCCATAGATGGGGAAGAGATTGGGCTCATTGACCTCCATACATGTGCACTACGAGAGGGAGTGTCGGTTATTATTAGATAGTGAGGGGAGAATAAGAGATCTGGGGCGAAAGTAGGGGAATAATTAACATTAAAAGTGGACTTGTCCTCCTCAGCTGTCTGAGAGGGGGGAATGATGGTCATACCCCAAGCACCGCCTCGTCCCCCTGACCTCTCTGCATGCATACCCCACAAAAAGCTCCACGGGGGTGAGGACCGTCCAACTCTGAACTCTCACTCCTTACCCGTGCTTGTGACTAAATGTTCTGATCGCGCAAGGGCTAAGAGTTTTCCTCGCCAGAGTTTGCATGAAGACGGCCCATGATCCCTTCCAGTTTTCCAGAGTGGCCTACCCAGCCATAATGTCAAAAGATTACAGTAATACGGACTAACATTTTGAAACACCGTTTAGTTTCAGGCCCCACAAGCCTGTTTCAAACGAGGTGCTGGGCTTTCTAATGAGGACATTGTTAAAGAGGTCTGTTTAATCCCAGCAGAGCCTCTGAGCTTTTGTCGCTATTATCGGAGGTCAGGTGAGGAGACACGACCTCATCACTGCGGTATGTATATGTGCTGAACTTCTTTTGCACCATACGTAGCCAATGGTGTTAAATCGGTTGGCTACGTTGGTCACGTGAATGTGACCAACGTGTGACTCGTGCATGCATCTATTTAAAATGCCGAAACAATGGCAGCATTGCACGGTGTAAGGCTTTAAATACCAAATTAAGTAATACAATGTGTAAGATACACAATGCATTTACATATAGTGATATAATAGCACGCAGATTACTGTCTATTAATATTGTCTGAGAAGATGACCGCATTGGTACTTACAAGTTCTGACGATGACCATATATGACCAAGATGAGAAGGACCCATTGGAACCCTCCACATACACGGAGTACTTCCTTCCAGGAACCAGTCCAGTAAATGTTGCCATGGTTGGGTAAATCGGGGATATTGTAACCAAGTTTCCACTCACAGTCTCTGTCAAGTTGGCCAAGTAGGAGAACGAGTATGGGAGAGAAGTCGTCATTGACAATGTCATGGTCGTGGTAGTCTTGCTAGTGATGGTTAAAACGATGTAACTTGGCACTGAAATGGCAACATGCAAGCACGACATTTTAAGGATGTAATGTTTCAGGTGGTTTACAATGATTAAAGCTAATAATGAAAAAGGTCCATTGAAGACATAACAAACTCATTGTGTAAGTGGTGAAGACAGGTGAACATATTTTGAGAGTCTAATCGTTTTGTTATGGAATTGTATTATAAACTAACTTTTGCTATTTCTACGGATTAAATTTGATCAATTGCAACATTTCTCAGTTTGAATGCAAACAATTTGTAAGAAATTACTTTGTTTAAAAAAAATATTCTACAATGTATCTATTTTGTTCCAAATGTATTTCATGAACAATTCATATCTTTTCCATCAGGGCCTAATGGGTTAAATTCTTCAAGTTCGTTTCAATCACTATATAACAGAAGATTAACATATATATTATTCCACGACTGAGCTATTCTTTTAAATATATTTAAATAAAACATGAAACAGCTTGTTGAGTAGGGCAGTCCAGACCTCCTTCTCCCTGCTGCCGCGACCCTCAACAGGACAAGCGGATTGACAAATTAATGAATGAACAAACATGTAGTAAATATATCCTACGTTGCATATTACAGGTTTTTGGATTAGATGGTGTAAATATGAATGTGTCGTTAAACTCGCCACCATACAGAAAATTTGGGTTATGGATCGTTCTCAGGAACCTAACCCTTCTGTAACCAGGGGACTGGCTGTACTAGTGTTGAGAGGTTCCAGACTACTCGGAGACAAAGGCTAAGGTTAAGGACTTGCGCTGTAGGTTTATTAGAGTTAACTCCAAGAACACAAAGAGGTGAACAACTTTCCAGGGATTAGGGGTCCCGGGCTAGGTCCCACTGGTTCCCATCACAGCCGGCTGCCCCCTGCTGCCTCATCTGCACCGAACCGTGGGTTCAGCCAACACGGCCGACCAAGGACCACAGCCACCTCCAGCCCTGGCTCAGTGCTATTTTCTCTTCCTATCCCCTTGCCCCTGGTCCCCCGTTCCATCCTACTCCGACCCTGGACTTCAGCTACGACCCTGCTTACGTCACAGGCTCCGCTTTAAGTACCCTTGCGGGACATGACATCATCTCACCCCCAGGCGCGTGTTTCTTGTCGACATGCCGAGCAGAAATGCTCTTTTTCTGCCGGGCTAAAGCGGTGGAATTAAGTCGAATAGGGGCCGAGTTGCCCATATCTATGTGGTGTTCCAAAAGAGTAGTGTGTGCCAGATCAAATTTACTTTGGCTAAACACATCCGTGAACCTCTCGATGAGTTCGCGGAGTCACTAACGTTCCTCGGGGAACAATGAGGCATTCTCGTTGCACAACGTGGCGATCCACGATGCGTCAGAGCCACGCGCATCACGCCCGCCACGACCTCTCCATCCAGGGCATCGCTCTTGGGTGGAAAAGCCGGGGGCGCATACGCCAGGACGGCGCCGACCGGGACTTTGACCGGCGCGGGCCCTGAATTGAGGACTTGCAAAAAAAGGTCCTGGCCACCCCGACACGGCTGTCAAGGCGCCCACTCCTCCATCCTTGAAAAGTAACTCGACGGGGACAGGAGAATACCCATCTCCGTGGAGCCCACTTTGAGCAGTCTGAGCAACCTAAGGGGTAGCAGGATTTGTGAGGCCGGCGACACGATCATTGCTGCTTTATTCAGGGTCTGCACGCTGGCGACCAAGGGAGACAGGATGGCAGGCGATTGCAGGAAATTCAACTGCCTCCCCGATGGCATTTCCACACAGCCCTCGTCAACAAGAATTTGAATGGGCATTCTAGACAAGAAGTTGGTCCCCAAGAGGCATGGGACTGCCAAGGTCTTGGAGACCAAAATAGGCCCGGCCAACTCAATCTCGTCAACCCGAACCGATGCTATGATGTGACCCAAAATGCCCAAACTGCCACCATTCGCCGCGGCACAAGCACGGGTGATGCGTCGCGACTCGCCTGGGGCCCGAGGCCCGATGCTGATGAGGGACCAGAAGGGGCCGGAGACGGCTTGTTGAAGACTCCCAGGGCATTCTAGCAGCTCCGCTCAATGTGGCCCTGCTGACCACAGTGGAAGCAGGCCACAGTGGCAGCGTCCTGCTGATGGGAAGGACCCGGCCGCCCCAGCTGCTCCGGACGGCGACCACCCGCCCACCACCCGCGACGATCAGGCATTGCCAGGGCTACGAGGGTGTCTTCTCCCTGAGAGACGGCTCCCCCCTCTGGTGCTGGGACCCCTGCGCACGCCGCCATCCGGAGCTGATGGCAGAGGGAAAGGTGCGCCTGAATGTTCTCAGCCACTGCCAAGGACGTGATCTGGTGATCGTTGTTGATCGACAAGGCGATCCCCAGCTCACGTGCCAGGTCAAGGAGCCTTTCCAGGGCTAACGAGTCCAGTTCCCTGCCCTCCAGGTCAGGGTATGTGGCCTGCGCCAGGGCCAGGAGCAAACAGCGGAAGGCCAACGGCAGTTCCCCCTCCTTCCGCCGCCGTAGCGAGAACTTCAGCCGCGCACTGGATGGCGGCTCGAAGACGTTGCCCATCTGTATGTATGGCGCTGGAAGCGTAGCCTTATCGGTCGGTGGGATTGACTTGAAGGCCTCCAGAGCCCTCTCGTCCAAGCAGGTCGGAAGGGCCCGCAATGCCTCCTCCATTGGCCAGCCAACCAACATGTACGCCACGTCGAACTGGTCCTGGAAGGCTAACCAGTCACCCCCAACGAATGGCGCAATGTGGGGCATCCGGTGCAGCCCATGGCCGCGTGGAACGGCAAGGTGTGGAAACCCCACGGCCCCTTGCGGGCCACCCCGCAGGCGTGGCATGGCGCGGCGGCGTTGCGGTTCCGACGGGCCACGCCGGAGACGCGGCGAGGGGCGGCTGCATTGCGGCACCCATGGGACACACCGGAGACGCGAACAGAGATGGCTGCATTGTGGCCCCCGTAGGCCACACTGGAGACGCGCCGAGGTGCGGTGGCATTACGGCCCCCATGGGCCACACCGTAAATGTGGCGAGGTGAAGAGGCGCAGCAGTGCCCACGACCCACCTTACAGATGTGTCAGCATGTGTCAGCGTGCACAGCTATGGCGGACCCCGTGACCACTCCTGCAGGTACGGCGAAGTGCGGAGGCACTGCGGCACCCCCGGCCCATCCCGCCGGCACGGTGAGGTGCGGAGACGCTGCTGGGGCAGTGTCAACCTCCGGCGATGCGGCGAAGGGCGGCGGTGTTGTGGCCCCCATGGGCCACGCCGTAGATGCGGCGAGGTGAGGAAGCGCAGCATCCCCCGTGAACCACCTTGCAGATACGAAGCCGTGGTGGCGCCCGCGGCCCACCCCGCAGGCACTGGTGAGGTGTGAGGCCGCGGCATCGCCGGCGGCCAGTCCAATGCCCGTAGCAATGGGCAGAGCCGATGCGGCATCAGCAGCCCATCCTGGCGATGCGGCGAGGTGCGGAGCCACGGCGGCGGTGTAGTGAGCCATGGCGGTGGCCGAGGCCCACTCCATGTGCGCGGCGAGTTGCGGAGCCACAGCGGCATCCATGGCAAAGCCCGCAAGCACGGCGAGGTACAGGGCCACGACGGCACCAGCGGCAAGGCTCGCCGGCACGGTGAGGTGCGGAGCCGTGGCAGCACCCGCGACAGCAGCTGCGGCTACCTACGGCGGCGTGGCGAGGTGCAGAACCGCGGCTGCGATGTACAAAGCCGCGGAGGCATCCATGGCCCACCCCCCATGTGCGGCGAGGCACGGAGCCGCGGCAGCACCTGCGGCAAAGCCGCAAGCACGGCGGGGTTCAGGGCCGTGACGGCACCCTTGGCAGCAGCAACGGTCACCTCCGGCGGCGCGGATGTGTACGGAGCCGCAGTGGTGGTGAACGGAGCCATAGCGGCGTCCGCGACACGGCCCGCAGGCACGGTGAGGTGCGGGGACGTGATGGCACCCGTGGTCAAGCTCGCTGGCATGGTGAGGTGCGGAGCCGCGGCGGCACTCGCAGCCACTCCCGCATCCACGGCGACAGATGGAGCCGCGGCATCAGCAGCGGCCCACCCCGGTGGCGCGGTCCGGTCCATATACGCGGCCATACCTGGGGCCCCCCCGGCGGGCGCAGTGTGGAGTGGAGCTACAGCGTCGCCGGCGGCCCCCCTCACAGGCACGGTGTGAAGAGGGACCGTGTCTGTGCCCACGGTGGAGAGCTGTGTCGCGGCTGGTACGGCGCCGACTTGGGACGTCGCAGCAACAATGGCCCCCGCTTGTGTCGTCGCAGCGGAAAATGGCGGCCATCTCCCATGGCGCACCCTTCGGAAAAATGGCGCCAGATTCGAAAGTAGTGGGTAGTGGAATGACGGGAATCAGCCGCTCCCCTTCCGAGTGTGGGCCGATTGGCTGCAAGCTCGCTCCCACCTCGGAAATAGTGGCAGAGAGCTGCATCATCGCCTGGAGGAGCAGCTACAGCTGCCCCCCGACGGCGCCCTCTCCCTCCGGCGGCGGCACACTGGCACCCCCGACCGCCGTCTCCTCCCTGCTCTGTCGGAGTCTCCTCCCCGGGGGCCGTCACTGGGGCCCCAGACTCCGCAGTCGCTGCTGGAGCCACCTCCACGCCGTCTTCGTTATCCGATCGTACCGATGATAGGTTATTGTGCCGCGCGCCCGATTTTGACATGACCTTGACAGCGCAGGCACTCTGACACCAGTTGTTGTTTCCAGACGACTCAGAGACGATGGTTAAGATTAAGGGCTTCCGCCGTAGGTTTATTAGAGTTAACTCCAAGATCACAAAAGGGTGAACAACTTCCCAGGGGTTAGGGGTCCCGGGCTAGGTCCCACTGGTTCCCGTCACAGCCGGCTGCCCCGTGCTGCCTCTTCTGTGCCGGCCGTGGTTTCAGCCAACACGGCCGACCGAGGAGCAGAGCCACCTCCAGCCCTGGAGCTGTGCTATTTTCTCTTCCTATCTCCTTGCCCCTGGCCCCCCGTTCCAACCTACTCTGACCCTAGACTCCAGCTACGACTCCGCTTACGTCACGGGACTCGGCTTTAAGTACACTTGTGGGACATGACATCATCCTGCCCCAAAGGCGCGCATGACGTTACTTCCCTTGACGTCATCGCCCACGGAGGTGGGCGTGACGATACGCCCGCAACTTGTCCTCTACACTAGTAACGAATTTACATGTTTGTTTAAGTGATAAACCTTAATAATTATCTGTCGGGTGGTGGCGGGTTGAACGACATTCTATTTACACAATATCACTCAAAACTTATGTTATGGATATTGGTCGTCAAAGTTTAAGTGTTAAAATGTCCTACTTTGTTCGTAATTAGGTAGTTTAAAAGTACATTATTGGACACAATTCATGCTGAAATAAAACTTCATACCTGTTCGAAATTGCTTAACATGGCAGGTCTATAATGTAATTACAATGAATGTACAATCCGGCAAGAACTCACAGGTCATTCTGGTAATGATGGTGGCTCGTTGGTAGTAGATGCCACTGTACGCCGTTACAGAAGCATCATAACTTCTATCAGGAATCAGATCGGTAAATTCTTTTGTTGTAATGGTGGAGGACAAAATGACGCCCTTCATTGCTGTTGCGTTGTACGTTTCACTTAAGTAGACCACATAGTAGTCAACGTCTGAAATAGGAGCCACCCATGAGACCGTCATGGCTGTAGGACTAGGGCTGCTAAAGCTGATGGTGACATAGACTTTTGGAGGCACTGCAACAGCAAATAACAACGTTTGACAAGACTCGGTTCAAGTGCGTGCGTGTATATCGTTAACTAAAGTTACTAAAGTAACGTGCAACACGTCAGATACAATACCGTATTTCAAATTTGTGATATGGATAAAATATCAGTTAAAGAAGGGAGGAGCCGGAGAAATGGAGATGATGTTCCTGCTGCAGGCAGGAGAACTGACGTTTCTTGGGGCTACAGAGAATGAATTTACATTTAATTGAAAAATTGCACTGGACTCAAGTATGTATTTTGAACTTCTTTCGCATCGTACGCAGCCAACTGGGCTAATCGGAGGTGTGGAGGAAGGACAACAATCAAAATACCAAAAGCCATTCTAAAGAAATCAGTTTATCAATATGGCTGATTTAAAAGTGCATAGCTCCAGTGGCTTCCTAATATCCGAATGACGAGCATTCCAGACGGCTGCAGAAGCGCATCGGAAAGTGCTGTGCAATGTGGTGAACCTCATTCAACAATCAGCCAAAAGCCACCGCTGTGTCGATGACTAGAGTTTGTGTGATGGTTTAGTTGTAGTTACTTACAGGTTCTACTCATGACTACATCTGATAGCTGGGACAGATCCGCGCTGTGAGCCTCTATGGAGACAGAGTAATTCCTCCCAGGAACCAGTTCATTGAACTTTGTTGGTCTGGAAGTTACATTATTGGTTTTGACTAAGGTTCCATTTGCAGTCTCTCTCAAGTAGACCAGGTAGTAGTCCACGTCAGAAGCAAGGGTTGTCCACGATACCGTCATATTCGTCATGGTATTGGCAGTGATGGACAAAGTAGGTTTGGGGGGCACTGTGAAACGGTGACAGGCGTGGTTTACATTAATAACTTCAGCAGCAACGGAAGATGTGACGTCTTCATCCTACATTTTTTTCTCACACCACTGGGTGGACTGAGGACAGGAGTGGTGGGAGAGGGGGGGTTAAAGACACCTGCCCATTGTTTAACTGCTGCCATTTAAGATGGAATTGAACTGGTGACCTCTGGATTGTTAAGTCTCGTGGACTAAAGTATTACACCATGGCAGCACCCATGTCAAAATGTGGCCCCCTGTCACTGTTTTTATATTATTGTCCACGAAAAAAAAACTCCTGTTAGCCACTTCTGCACCCATATTAATAATAGTACAGCCTGTTCTCCTCAAACGCGGTGGTATTTTCGTTCCTGAAGAATAGCGCGTTAAGAAAAAATCGCGTTAATAAATAATATATAATATGGGGGGTAAAAATCAGTCAATTATAACATGTGAGATGCATGCGCAGCCCTAACAAAGACTTTGTTGCATGGTGAGCATCTATAAATATCTAGCATCATCCCAATGCCTTGTGCAATGCTATGCCGAGGCAGCCGTACGACCCATTATTTCTACTCACACGTGATGTATATCCGTTCACTCTATCGCGTTATATTCAATTCGCATCCACGTTATTAAAAACAAGTGTTCCCTAATACATTCATCCCGTTATATGCAATTCGCGTCATGAAAATAATCTACGGCATTATTGAAGACTATTCCCTCTACATTACCTTCCCTCCCAGTCTATATAATCCCGTGTATATCTATTTATGGATGATTACGGGGCAGGCAACATGATGGCGATGACTTGAGACATACTTACATGTTCTCTCCGTGAAAGTGACTGATATAGTATTTGTTGCCGGGATGTAGATTGTCACTGAAATAAAATAATTCCTTCCAGGCACCAGACCAGTAAATGTAACGCTCTGTGGTAATGTTGTCCTGGTCTGAGATTGGATATTTGGTCCGTCTTGACGCTCTTTTAAGGAGGCGATATAGTAGAACAGGTCAACAGAGGACATGTTCCATGACACTGTTATGGTGGTCGCATTCTTGGCAATGGTGCTGACATTGACATTGGCTGGCACTGTGAAAAAAAAATGCAGATTTTTATGACAAATTGTTACACCAACAGTTTCCCTTTGACCATACCTCACAACGCTGGTCAGTGCGAGTCAGTAAATACTAGAGCGTGGGGGTGCATAGAAGTACAGTGATCCATTGCTTAATGCACTGAATGCATCCCTGAAGAGTGCTGCGTTAAACTAAAGCCACGTCAAGCGAAGAATTATCGTTCAAATAATCACATTTACACTGTAAAATAATCAGCTTGCAGGCCATCCCATGGGGGAACAAGTGAGGGCATGACGCCACGCAACCATATCGTTCTGCGTACTGTATCACTGCACTGTATGACTTATGGCGCAGCTCAGAAAGTAGTTCGTCGTCGAACAATCGGCAACTGGGTTACAACAGCGCGCATTCCGTGTTATAACAGTGTACGTTCCACGTTATAACAGCGTGTGTTCTGCTTTACAATGGTGCGCGATCTACGTCACAATGGCGCACGTTCTGCGTTATAAAGGCGTGCATTCCGCATTATAACAGGTATGCGTTCCGCGTTATAATGGTGCACGTTCCGCTTTACAACGGTGCGCGTTCTGCATTATAATAACGATGCAAATTCCACGTTATAATAATGGCACGCATTCCGCATAATTACGCACATTCCGGTATTATAATAATGGCGCACATTCCGCATTATAATAATGGCTCACATTTCGCGTTATAATGGCGCACATTCTTCGTTATAGTAACGGCACACATTCCGGGTTATAATAACGGCGTGCGTTCTGCGTTATAATAACGGTGCACATGCGCGTTGTGTGACAAAACATGTTAAGCAAGAACTTACTGGACAGTACAACAATCGTTTGCTGCACTGCCAGCTGCTGCATTATGCAAACCCGTTTCAAAGGAAATTTTAAAAAATTATCCATACAATATCAGTTAAACATAATGATCGTCATCATATTAACGAAATGTGTCGGACCTCGCATACAATATGTGTTGAGGCAGCATAACGAAGGGCATAAGACAAATACGATATGTAAAAACAACAGTAGGAGCTTGCGACTGTTCTTTCTGTTTTTAGTTATGCTGTTGTACACTACAATACAATTTACATTTATATAGCATCTAGATGCAACCGCATATGCAAATGCTTCACATGGAAAAAACATTGTTTTAGCTCCATGCTTGTAAAAACAAGTAGGGCTTTAAGTCTTGACTGGAACAAGGAAAGCAGATTTCAACGCGTTCGAAGTTTCAAGAGAGAGAGACAATTCCAGACATTTGAGAGCAGAAGCCGGGAAGAAGCGACCTCCACCATGGAAATGAAGGTTGACAACTGTGGGCTTTGTAAGATGAAGGCCTTCATTGTGGGGGTGGTGACAATGTCCCAAAAGGTTAAAGTGAGATGAGAGGAGAAGTATGGAGGGACAAGAGCATAAAATCGTCTTTTAAAAAACAATAATTGCAATCTTAAAAGTGGATCTGAGACCAGACAAGAAACCAGTGCAGTGAGCGTCGGAGTGCTGCTGTGATATGACATATTTTTAATGTACTGGTGAGGAGGCTATGCGGGGGCATTCTAAATCCATCAGTAACCTTCTTGGTTCATTCGGTAAAGTCACGTAGAAGGAAAGTAATAAAAGCATAAAAATAAAACATAATAAAATAATTATCACGACGTTTCGGCTACAACCAAGCAGCCGTCTTCAGGTGAAGAATGATACACTGCCAAGCTTCGAGCTTATATATAAGCTGGGTTGGAGGTGGAAGAAGAGCGCCTTGACAAAATAATTAGCATATCAAGAGGAATATAGCATATTCATGGGAAATGCGTAGGAGGTGGGCAGGGGGGTTCAAAGTCATATTATGCCCATGCATTATGCAGGATTAGCAGCATCAAAGGGAGGGGTAGGGGGTAGCATTAACAAAGGGAGGGGATGTTAATAGTATTTAGAAGCAATGAAACATGCCAATGAGAGAGCGGTTGAAGGAGACCCGCAGCGGAGCAAATAATGCATTCCCTGTGGAGAACACAAGATACACAGTCAATGCCAGTGAGTGGACTGCGGTCTGAAAGTCACCGTAAACGTGAACAACAATCAGTTAAGATCCGAAATGGTTTATTACGTCCTTCCAATGATTGCTGAGCCAGAATCCATCTTCTCGGTTGAAATTGTCTCTGTGTTTGTATATGTGGATCGCCTCATGAACGAATCTCTCATGGTAGCCAGATGGCTTGCAGAGAACCTCTGTCTTGGAGAAGTCAATGTCATGTGAGCCCACTGAATTGTAACAGTGATCTGTCACGGCTGAGGTGTTTGTCCTACCGTGTTTCAGGTCTGCATTATGTTCACGGATGCGGTCCGAGATATGTCGTTTGGTTTCTCCATTGTAACTGCTACCACAGAGGCAACTTTGTTTGTAGACACCAGGGTACTGTATGTCTGGAACCACGTCTTTTACAGACGGGACCAGATCATGGATTTTATGTACTGTGTTGAATCGGACCTGGATCTTGTGTTTAATCAGGATTTTGGAGATCTTTTTTGTGACCCCAGCAATGTAGGGTAAGGTGATGGTTTTGAAAGGCTCCTCAACAGGATCCTTCTTGATGGTTGGAGTGATGGCTTTACGGATTGTGTAGTCGGAGTAACCATTAGCCTTAAGAGCTTGGCGTACGTGTTTGAGTTCACTGGCAATGTGTTCCTGGTCGGAGATGCATTGGGCTCTATGGTATAGAGTCTTGATGAGGGAGTTCTTCTGGGATGGATGGTGGTGGGAATCCGGTTTTAGGTAAGCATCCGTATGGGTGGCTTTCCTGTAGACAGAATGGCTCATTGAACCATCAGTACTCCTTTTAATTAGGACATCCAAAAAGGGTAGCTTGCCATCTTTTTTGACTTCCATGGTGAATCTGATGGCTGGGTGTATGGAATTGATGTGGTCGAGGAATTGGTCTAGAGCAGGCCGGCCATGTGGCCAGATGACAAAAGTGTCATCTACGTACCTCTTCCATAAGGTTGGGTGTAGAGTGGCAGTCTGGATGGCGTCAGAGCAACACGCAACAACAAGGAACGGTAACAATCAACGGAAGGGAAGAGTCTTGGATCTGGTATGTGATGCCGGACCATTCCTTGCATGAACAGGGGACTCTGCTGACAGCAATCCAGGCAGGGTTGGAAGAGCGGCGGAATCGACATCCCTTGCCGCAGGTGAAGGCCCAGCCAGTGCAGGATCACCTCTGTCCAGTTGGCTCAGGGCCGCCGAGTCTGTGGGAGGCAAAACAGGCCCCTTCGTAGGTTCAACAGGCAAGAGGGCAGCTTGCCGAACACATCAGACACATTCAAGGCAACCTTTGGGGATGATGGATCGATGCGAGGGGCAAAGAAAGGTTTCAACTGCGAAGTGTGGACATACCAACGGCACGACCCTGCCTGGATGCGTGCGCACTGGGGACTAGATACTTCGATCAATTCCACAGAACCTTGCCAAGGTCTGTGCAGCTTGGGAGAGGTCCCGACGGGCACCTGTGGGCAATGGAGCCAGGCCCGGTCCCCTACAGCCCATGGCATTGCGCATTGGGAGTGCCGAGCACACCGCTCGTTATGGGCCTGGGTTTTAGACGTGGCAATCCGTGCCGCATCTCGCGCCTCCGTGACGCGGCGAACCGTGTTGCAAACGTATTCGGGAAGAGTCTGCGCGGGCTCCTTAGCGCACACACCCAACTGCACATCAACAGGTGGCACGTTATCATGCCCATACATGAGGAAAAAGGGTGAGTACCCAGTGGACGCATGCAGTGCCATCTGGTAGGCAGAGAGCACCCCAGAGATGTACAAATCTCAATCGGCCTGCTTCTCGCTAACTGTATGGCAGAGCATAGCCGACAGGGTACGGTTCAACCGCTCAACCATCCCATCCGTTTGCCGGTGGTAGGTGAAGTACGTACTTTCCTGGTGCCCAATGCATCACACAAATTACGCAACAACTTAGACGAGAAGTTGTGGCCTTGATCCGTAAGCAGCCGTTCGGGCTCGCCCTTGTCCATCACGTACCCGTACAGAAATGCCTCCATGATAGTCGACGCCGACTGATCAGGCAAGGGCCAAGCCACCGACCACCGCGAGAAATATTCCACACCCACCAACAGAAATTTGTTACCCCGGGTGGATGGGGGAAAGGGCTCGAGGATGTTCAGCGTCACCAGCTCGTTAATGTGCGTCACCTGGATCAATTTCAAGGGCGGAATATAACCCCGTTTTGGCAGCTTCCGACAATTGCACTCGGAACAAGCCTGTATGTCCTTGGCGATATCAGTCGTCATGCCATGCCAAAAATAGTCCAGCTGTAACGTGAGCAAGGTTTTCTGCACGCCAAGATGTAACAACTTCTCGGCATGCAGTACTCGAGTTAATTCATACCGAAGCAGGACAGGAACCACCATGCGCCAATGGCCCAGCAAATCATCCCTCCACATCAACTACCCATCCCAGAGGGCCGCATGCGGGGAATCGTCCGCAGACGAGGACACCCGCGGCCTGCCCACCTGACCTCGAAACGAAGTCAATGATTCGTTCAACAGTTGCTCACAGACCCATACCAAATGCGACAAGCTCAACACCCCGTCAGCTGGCTCAGGACAGGCCGGGCACGTGAAATCCGCCATCGCGGACATGACCAGCCGAAGGGTCTGAGAGGGGCGCGTGCACCAATTAGTGCCCGAGGTGCACGCACAAGAGGATCCCTGCAGTAATCGGGAGAGCGCATCCGCATTACCATGACGAGAACCTTTAAGGTACCGTATATCAAACGAGAATTTCTGCAATGTCTCCAACCACCGCGACAACTGGCCAGAGGGCTGTTCGATCTTCAAGGAATATTGCAAGGCGCCATGGTCCGTGCGCACCAGAAATGTTCTGCCGTACAGGTACGGCCAATATTGGCGAACAATATGAACAATCGCCAATAACTCCCTACAGGTTAAACAATAGCGGGTTTCAGTCGACGAGAGAA